TATTTATGTTATATATAGCGCATGTCTGAGCTAGTTTCTGTGCCCAGTTTTCGCGCTGGTCCGCACAATTAATTTTACCTTGGCTTGTCAGTTTATTGGTTATCAGCYGTGGCCTGGCGTGTCATGGATCGGATGGAGCTGCTGGTTGCGCTGTTGTCGGATATCCTTGCTTGACTCCATATACATACAGAAGWGTCTATGTGTGCGTGTGTGTGTGTTGCTGCCACTGCCGCACCATTTATGCCATTAAGTCATTAGCTTTGTTTAACAAATAACAAACTGTCAATGAGTTGATTAACGATGTTTTTCGCATGAACTGCAATTAGCTGACGCTGTTGCTGCTGCTGCTGCCGCTGCTGCCGTTGCCGTTGCCGTTGCTGCCTGATAAATGGGTGTGATTTTCGCCCAGCTTTGCCTGTTGACTTGCTGCCAACTTGGTGGCCACTTGGCCACGTTAGCAAGGCGACGCGGCTCGTTATTGATGCGCGCACACCAAGCATCCAAACACCATCATGGCTAACGCCATTGCCATCGCCATCGCCATCGCCGTCGCCGTCGCCGTCGCCGTCGTCGTCGTTGTCGTCGTCGTAGCCGTCGCCATTCTCATCCCCATTTAGCCTTCACTTGGCAATTATTGTGTTTTCTGATGAGCTGTGAGCTGTGTGCCTGGAAAGCCGCAGTCAAAGTCAGCAGCCGTTCATCGCCTGGCATCGTCAAAGCAATTACTACCCGTTGACAAGTGTAATGTCAGCCAACGACTGTTGCTGTTGTTGCTGTTGCTGCTGCTGCTCCTGTCATTCACCCATTCATTCGCTCACTCACTCAATTTTCTTTCTGAGAGCGACTGTTTGCAATTTATTTGCCACGGACGTAAGACAGGAGCGTATCTGTGCTGTAAAATGGGCCTACAAAATTATTTTCTTTTTATTCAACTCTAAATTAGCAATAAGGCATAGATAGACAAGGGCTAAAAGTCAATAAGGTAATAAATTAAATCAATATTAAATGGAATATACATTATTAAATTGTTGTGTGTGTTTTTTTTTTTTTTTTTTTTTTTTTTTTTTTTTTTTTTTTTTTTTTTGAATATTAGATCATAAAGCTAACTTAATATATTGTGCAACACAGAATACGCTTTAAATACATTATATTAAAATGTATACAATAAACTACAAGTATTGTAAAATTTGTTTCTACCCTGAATGCGCTCATATTTTAAAATTGTTTCACGGAATAATTACTAAACAAAATCGTATAATAAACAAATAATATTTTAGTACAACTTTTCTCACTGAATACGCCCTCAGAATAATTATTATGCAAAATATTAATACACAGTAAATAAAAACAAATAATATGATAATTAAATATATTATTAAGAACAATTTGCTAAGCTGTAATAAATTGTATGAAAAATATGAAAATTTGAAAATAAATAATATAGGAATTCAATAATATTTTAAAATAGTTAACAGTCTAAATGAATGCGCTCCTGCTTTAAATATATGCCCAGAATAATTATTATGCAGAATATGCACTTGTTGTACAACTTTTATTAACAATGTTGACATAATGCTCTACGTGGGTTAGCATGTCCTGGACAGTGGGTGTACACACGCACAAATACACAGCGAGAGAGAGAGAGGGAGAGTGAGAGAGAGACAGAGGGCAAGCTGGCAGCTTACATACAAATACGCACATAAAATAAATTAGTTTCTGTGCAGCGCTAATTGCCTTAGCCCAAAGTTAATTACAGCAAAATTTTCAAATTTTCCAAATTTGGACTTGTCAAAAACATTTTGACATTTCCCACTAGGAAATTAGTTTTACAAACTTTGGCGTTTCTGTGTATCGGTCACCTCTTTGTTACTCTAACTTAATGCGGTATTTGATTTTCAATATCATAATTATATATGTGTGTATGATTACAATGCGCCAGCACGAACAGCGAGCGAAATTTGTGAAACATTTCTGTTGACTTGCATTGGCTGGCAAATGGACACGAAGTCTCATTCCCGCTGATTAAAACACACATAGCCACAGAGCTAATTAAGTACAATGTTAATTAATGTGCTAGCGTCTGATAACTGCATTAAAATTGTATACATGTCAAATAATGAAACTAATGCGTGCAGCTGAGCTAGACTAGTTCGACAAAATGTCACGAACTGAATATGCCAAATTCTATTCCATTTTAAGTGAAAGAAGTCCTACACAGTGTATTATTTAATGGGCCAAAAGGGACAACAGGCCGAACGAACTACTCAAAATTTAATTAACTGAATTCGTTTTTAATGAGCACGAATTATTTAGCAATAAAATGTTTTCATAATATATGCAAGCTGTCAGGAGGAACTCGAATTCATTCTGTAAAGTTCAAGCTCTGATCTCTAATTATACGAGCAGCACAACTAATGAGCTTTGTTTAGCTGCAGTTCGTATTATTATTCTCTGTCATTAAAATGACAGTTTTCGCGCAGTGCTCACAGTTGCAGGGCTTTAAGCAGCTCATTTCAACTAGTCATATTTGGGAGGCAAGCAGGCTCAAATCATGCAAGTAATTGAATACTACCTAAATATTCATTGCCTTAAGTTAATATACATTTGCTTAGGTTGTTTTATATCAATAGTTCCTAATCAAGAGTAAGCTATATGTTCTTTTCTTTTTTTAAAGGGAGATCCATCACCTCAAATAAGCCAGTCGAGCTTAGACATTTTACGGACAACTTTTTTTTATAAATATTTTTGAGCATGAAATTAAACCTTTGCCCTAAATATTTTACATAA